TTGGTTGGTTGGTTGGTTGGTTGGTTGGTTGGTTGGTTGGTTTGTTTGCTTGCTTGTTTGTTTGTTTGTTTGCTTGCTTGTTTATTTGTTTGTTTGTTTGTTTGTTTGTTTGTTTGTGTGTTTGTTTGTTGTTTGTTTGTTTGTTTGCTTGTTTGCTTGTTTGCTTGTTTGTTTGTCTGTCTGTCTGCTTGTTAGTTTGTTTTTTGTATGTTACACTTAGGGTATGTATGCTTGTGTGCTTGTTTGTGTGTTTGCATGTATGTCTCTAAGCACGCAAGCATGCAGGGCATGTAGCGTCATGTGTGTACACATGTATGCTTAGATGCATATACGGATCTATGGACGTGTCTGTAAAGTATACATGTATTTGATCTAGTGTATTTTAGGTATTGCGCCATTGTCTGTGTCCCTGTCTGTGACCATGCGTATGTAATATGTGTGTATGTGTCTATGTGTAGTGACACGGTGCGTCGCAGAATTCCTCCGTGCTCTGCTCGACTGAAATCTTAAAGGATCGCGGTAGGTAGCAACGAGGCTGTGGTGCGTGAGATTCGAAAGAATCCACAGAAGCACTCTAAGTCTCCTGGCAATTATGACACCCTAGTAGTATACAGAACTCACCAAGTCCCCCACCACTTTCCCTGAAGACTAAACCCTAAACCTCCAAAACCTCTAAACCCTACCCGGACCCGGAACCATGAACTCACAAACCCCAAACCCTTCCCGCCCGAACCATAAATTAAGCTCTGAACCATTGGCCCGGTCCCTCCGCTTGTTCTATTATAGTAAGCACCAAAAAGTTGGAAACCGGACTAAGGACAATTAGTGCTGGGATTCCCTATACCTTACTCTCAAGGATTGAGCCTATTGGGTTTCCAAATTTTGGGCGTCTGCTGTAGTTGCATTCTCAGTTTTGTTTTCATTAACCCTAACCCTCCAGGTACCTACTTTATAGGGCCCCAGGGGCTCTAGTACCCTATATAGTAGGTACCTGGGGGGGTTAGGGTAAAACTCTCATCGTCACCCTAAACGCCAAACCTTGTTCATCCCAGGTATCTTCCGAGAAGTCGCAAGCGCACACTCTTCAACCGAGGCCTTTGCAGCAGTTCATTTTGGGTCGAGATTATTCGCAATAGTATCCTTTTGTAGTCCCTACATAAATATACCGTAATGAACTCCTGAACCCTACATTACTCCGTAGAGTTTTGGGTTACATAAAGGTTTAGACTGGATCCTACCCTAAACCCTAAACCCTAGTAGTACCGAGCAAGGTCTGCAAAATTGCCCCCCGCCCCTTCCCCCCAATTTTCTCCGATTTCCCTGTGTGCTGTGACATGGTACAGCCTCCCAAAGGGTCGAAGTTATAGTATGGTATATACTTTTGGGGCCCAAATACCTACAAAGTAGCTATCATATTACTACTTGGACCCTTTGGGCCTCAAGCCCGACAGATCTGAACGGCCCGAGCATTAAGCCACGACAAGGTGTACGATCCCGCTACGTTCCAGCCCTGCTGCTAGGGTAGACTTCTTGAGCTTTCGGGCGGTGGTGGTTGTCAACCCTCCATGAACACTTACATAGGCTGCACGAGCCAAGCCCGTCTAGTGCTTACACAGGACACCCTTCAACCGTCTATACAAGGACCTTGGAAGCCGTACGTAAGCAGTACCTGCGGCCTATAATTCGGCGAAAGACACTACCCACGCACCAGCTACTTCCCTTGAGTTGGGTGGAGAAGGGAGGAGGGGGAAGGAGGGGTGAGGTGGGTTTCAATTAGAAACTACCTTTCAAGCCTGATGATTTCAGAGGTTATGCCTTCATCCGTTTCTTCAGCGATGACCACGCCGATGAAGCAGTTGCCGTCCTGGCTGAGCCCCCGCTCGTGCCTTAGGGCTTCGGGTTTACGGACCTTGGGGCTTAGAATATATGATAATTGAGTACTTGGACCCTTAGGGGTTTCGAATATCGAAGTTTAGTGTTGATAGCGGTTTATCGCTCATGGGCTCAAGACGTAGCTCAGATGTTGCTAGAGAGTGCCCAACAGCCCTTTATTATTGGATTTTATCGTGCCTTCTTATCACGGTTCAAGGCATATTCGTCAATGAAGAAATAGTACTCTGGATATGGGCCCCTAAACCCTAAACCCTAAACCCCAAACCGGATATGGGTTGCCGCTGTGGAGATGCCCTAAGTGGCTTTCAGACATTCACCGGGTTCGTGGTAATATAAAAACCGAGGGTTTAGGTTAGGGTTTAGGGCTTAGTTTACCAATACATTCCTTACGGTTCCTTTCTGCAAAAATATATTATAGTAAGCCCATACGAACCCCAAAACTCTAGTCTAATTATTAACGCCTCTAGATTTTGCGACTAAGGCTTCAGCAGGGCGGATCTACAGAGCCATGGATGTTACCAGCGCTTTTCTGGTTGAAAGGCCGAAACGTGGTCCGAACCTAAAACCGAAGGCCAAAGCGCAAACCCCAAAACCCGGACCCTACAAGCCCCAAACCCAACCACAGGATCCGCACAGTCTGTTGGACATGGCATCTTTTCTCGTGGGAGCCAGGTATGAAGTTTGACGTTTTCGCATGCCTTTTGGAATCTATGGCATATATATATATATATATGTGGCAGCTGAGATTCGTGATTCAAATGAATAACGAGAGGGTTCTGACACTGATAAGGATGGCGATGGTGCCGCTGAGGGTGGTGGAGGCAGTGTGATGCCGGTGTGCTGTCGATGGTGATGACGACAGCAGTGGCGAATGCATGTGTCATGGCATGGCATGGTGTTCAACATCACCAATATCCTCATCGCCATCATCATAATCGTTGTCGTTATCGCCGTCACCATCTGACAGTTGTCATGCTCGTCATCATGATCGTCATCGTCGTCGTTATGAGCATCTTTGTAACTAACACCAGCAGCAGCATCAGCTTCACTATAGCACCACCATCGTCTGGGTAGTATGAATCAGCAGCATGAAAGTGCCCGGAAGTTGTTGTTCAGGAATTGGTTCTTCAGGTTTGTCTTTGGTGGAAACCTTTAAACCCCAGACCCTAAGCCCTGAACCCTAGACCCTAAACCCTAGACCCTAAACCCTAAACCCTAGACCCTAAACCCTAAACCCTAAACCCCAGACTCTAAACCCCAAACCGTAGACCCTAGATCCTAAACCCTGACCCTAGACCCTAAACCCGCGACCCCAAACCCCAAACCCTAAACCCGAGACTCCAAATTCAAACAGTAAAGCTGCAGCATCCTTTCAGGAACGGAACTTCGCAGGCTGGCACTCGAATAGTCCCTTGAGACTTGAAGTTCACTATCGGGTTTAGGGTTTAGGGCTTAGGGTTTAGGGTTTAGGGTTTAGGGTCAACCTGGGAAATTCATAAAATTTCCCTTATGGTTTCGGCAGAGGTACCTATTCATAAGCACTTCTCAGAGTCGCCAAGCTACAACCCAGTACTACTGTTGATGGACAAAAGTACCACAAATCCCATAGTTTAGGTATATAGGGTCATGCAGGATTTTGTCCATCAACCGTAGTGAGGCTTTGTGGTGTAACAAAGGGGCCTGAATAATTAGAATACGCTTCTTGGCCGCCAATGAGATTATATGATATTATAGTAAGGAACCTAAGGAACAATATTGGTACTTATTTAGGCTTCTATATCAGGGTTGAGGGTTTAGGACATTGCGACATGGTGGACATGCTAAGCCCGTAACGACGGTCAACCCTGTAGTAGTCACCTTGGAATCACAGCCCCGCAAAGCATACTTCGAACAGAACCTACTCCTGGACTTCACTCCAAACGATCTCTATAAGTCCAAATAATAACCCCAAACAGCACACCCTAAACCCTAACCCCGAACCCTAAAAACAACCCAAGCCCAAAAGCTCTCCCCCACAAAGGCCACAGCTTCGGGGTGTACGCATTGATCGCAGCCACGTGACTTGGTTGAGAAACATAGAGGGCCAGAGAGGGGCCGGAATAATCACTTATGGGCTAAGTTTCCAGTCGTATCTGGAGCCCTATACAACCTATATAACTCGAGTGAAACCACGTAAAAGGCTGACAGACGCCTGTTCCATAGCTTTTCCTTTCTAGATGCCCTGGTGTAACGGTGAAGGGTCTTCGGGCTTAGGGTTTAAAGTTTAATGTCCAATTCAATGGTTCAGCTTTAAAGTAGGTTGAGAGCTTAAAGCTTGAGCTTTGGGGAGTTTTTTGTGTTTATGGTTTCGAGGTGCAGACCCAGGTGTATCATGTAAACTTTCTTTTCCTGACATGTACAGTATACCTTAACCCACCAGAACCGATTTTTTTGTAGGGTCCCTATAAATCCCATATTAGGGTTTATAATAGGAACCTACAAAAAAGTGGGTTTTGGTAGGTTAAGGTAATGATAGCATGCACAAGCAATGAGTTGAGATGCCACGCTCCAGCTTATTCTCACCGCTGGGCGCTTTCAGTCCGAACAACCTCGCGAAAGGTCATGCCAACGTAGATCCGCAACCAGTGAACCACCCCAAAGGGTCCAAGTTAAAGTATGGTATATACTTTGGGGGCCCAAATACCTACAAAGTAGCTACCATATTACTACTTGGACCCTTTGGGCACGATCATAGCGAACATGACGACCACGACCACCCAAACGATCACTAGGACCAGGATGACCACGACCACCACGGGGACAATCATGAGACCACCGGACCACCCAGAGACCACAAGAGACCCCACAACCACTAGGACACCACAGGACCACTCTAGGGAAATACGGGCCGGAGTTCAAGAGCACGGCGGCACGGCCTCCCCCAAGTAGTGGCGGGATTCAAAGACCACGCTACCAATCTCTTCCCCCAGGAGTCGAGGGCACGACCAGAATGTTATCGCCAAAGTACTGGTGGATCCGGGACCACGGCCAAAATGCTCCCCAAATACTGGCAGATACAGGACGGCGCTTAGATGCTTCCCCCTGTACTTATAAACTTCGCGAGGACTGCCAAAATGCTTTCCCACAAGTGCTGCTGCGATTCAATAAACCTATAAACCCTAAACCCTAAACCCCAAACCTGCCCGCCACCCCTCGCGTTCCAGTTGGGCAGGCGGGCACAGTGGCGGAATATAGGCGGCCCTGACGGACTCCGATCCTTTCATTAATTTTGTTCCGAAATGCCAGGAGCGAAGCGAAAGCAATGAGAACACCCCCACCGCCCCCCCCCAACGCCCAACGAACGTCTGCGATCAAAGTATGCTATGATTCCTGCTCGATTCACCTGTTTTCAGTTGGCCGGTGTCCCAAAAGTCCGGAGCGGACGGGCGACATTGAGATTGTTCTGCGGCCGGAAAAGTCCCCCTGTGAACCTAAATTGACTGTCCAGTATATTTATAGGACTTCTGGACATCGTACCCAACGCGAGGCCTCCAAAAACGCTCCCGGAACCTCAAGAAGCATTAGAAATAATTTCGTTGGTTTCGGCTCCCTGTGCGCTAACCCTCGTGACCGGCCGAGTGCACCCTAAACGTTAGACGCTAAACCCTGAAACCCTAAAACCAAAGCCTTAAGCCTGATAAGCCTAAGCCCCAAGCCTTACCCTAAGGGTCCATGTACCCCAATAGTATATACTTTGCCCTTAAAGTAGTCCTTATATAGATACTTTGGGGCCAATGTATATACTATATGAGTACATGGAGCCTCAGGGTTAAGCATTGTGCCTTTAATCCTCAACTTTGGCCATCCTTGGCCCTAAAACCGCGAATCTGAGCCAAAGGCCTCGATTTGGTTGGTAAACACCCTAAACCCTAAACCCTAAATCCAACACAGAGGCGTATCGGCCCGAGGGTGTAGTTTTCTCTTTGAGATCCACCCCGGCCCATACACAGCGAGGACGCTTTAGCGACCCGCCCCTTCAAGGTTGAAGGGACCTCGGTCTTTGGCTGCCTTTGGGCCCACTGATCCGGGGATCATCTTCCGTCTTCTACCTCGGGGAGGACTTCCTTTTTCGTATTGTTGATCGTCACCATTGGCTGCCTTTGGCCCACTGGGGGACGTCAACCGGCTCTGTGCCGTGGGTGTATGGTACACACCTTTTTTGGTTGGGTGATTCTGTTCATCACAATCTGCAATCATACCGCAGCGCCGACTCAGAGGAGAGGAGGCGTGGCATCGAAGGCTACGGAGACAAAGGACGGAAGGCAGGTTACATCTCCGCAACTTTTTGCAAGGAGGCCTTGTTCCGCGGGAGCAGGTACAGCGTGCAATTGCGGCGATGCGAGGACACCACTCGTCGAGCTCCCTGCCGCTGCAAGCGGCCAGGCAGCTCCAGTGCCCGACTGGCACAATGCAGAATGGGGCGTGGCGATGTGCCAGGTGCAAACAAGGGTGCAAGCCCAGCGCGCAGTATTGTCAACACTGCGGAGGGCATTGGAAAAAAAGTCATAGAGGCGACGCCGACCTATGCCGCCAGCTCCGGACAAGATCCGTGGAGAGTTGGAGGCAAGGGATGGCATGGCTGGGAGGGAAATTGGGATGCCCCCAAGTCTCCCAGGAGAGCGAAGTCGCCAAGGAGCAGAGGAAAGGGGAAAGGCAAGCAGAATGGCAAGGCCGCACCGCAGAGCGAGACGAGCCTGCCGGAGCCGGTGGGGCCCTCCCTTCAGCAGCTGCCGCAGACGCCACATATCCCCACGGTGGTGCTTCCTGCCAATGCCACGTCCCAGGCCAGCGACAGCACAGACAGACGGATGCTCCACTCCTTTATCGAGCAGCTGTCACGGCAGGAGGATCTCCCACAAGGGGTGAGGGATCTGATGTCCAGGGTGACTGGGACTACGGTACAGGAGGAGACAAAGACGCTACACAAATGGGTGAAACAAAGGTCTTTGGCAACGACCTCCCTCGCCAAGATTCAGAAGGACAGAGCTTCTTTCGAGGCGTCTTGGGCGACATACAGCTCCTCGTTGCTACAGCTCTTGCAGGATCAGCTCCAGAAGCGTCAGGAAACCCTGGAGCAGCTGGACAGAGCACAGCTGGAGTGGACAGAACAGCTCCGAGCTGTGTCGGCCCAAATCAAGCAGGCCACTACCGAGGATGGGGGCATTCAGTCCATAGCCAGCTCGGACTCGGAGGAGCTGGAAGCTGCCATGGAAACTTCGGAGGCCTGCGCAGCACGACAAGAGGAAAAGCACCAGCACATGACGCAGCAGCATGCTCAGATACTGACGGCCTTGCAGAAGGTTCAGCAGTCGGCTCTGGAGGGTTCAGGGTCAGGACGACGAGAAGGCTCACGGACACCTCGGCGCAAAGCAGAGGCCGAGGACCCGGCAGCCGCCAAATTGGAGGTCAGAGCCGAGCCAAAAGCTGCTTCCAAGCAGCATTTTGGCTAGGCTCGTATGTGTGCCTCAGTGACACATGCGGGCCTAACCAATCGCCCTTTGGTGGCTGTGCGGGGCAGAGCATCCAATGCGAGGCAGCCTCATCTTTACCCACGGCTACTGGACCCCAGGATCAAGGATGTGGATTGGTCTTTTCAGGACAAACAGGGTGCTGGGTGGATCGAGCCAGATGAGGCGGAGATTCGTGTGCCCGCCAGCCATAATGAGTCCACTCGAAAGAGGGGGGGCCAGCGGACGCTCCCTGCTGTTTTCCGGGAAGAGCACTGCCACATGGACGACAGGCAGTTGGCGAGTACCGATGCAACAGCAGGTTCGTCACTGGCTGCTTCTCCAACGGGTGGGACTCATTTGCAGCGCCGAGATGTTATGAGAGATGTGTACAGAAGTGGGACGCCTGTACAGAGTTTTACTTGCAAGGCTGCGTCGGCCCCTCGGACGGTCACTTTCCGACTGCATCCAGAGGTCTTTACTTTTGAGGTCGGTGCTGCTCTCCCAGGTTACGTGAAGCCACAGTCTGAGTGCAAGGGCGGTTCCCCGTCGAGCCTTGCTCCGACCATCACTTCCTCCGATTACTTAGCCACGGAGGTTTCTCCAGTCACGGGCCTTCCTCTTCTGGCCCCGCCGGGTCTGCTTGGCCAATTTGGCCCGCCACGGCCTTCTGTTATCGCGCACATGCGGGCGCAGGCGGCACAGCTTCATCCCTCCGAGCTTACGGTTTTTCCTTTGTCGGAGGTTCCAATTGCTCATCTGAAGCTCTTTAGTGCCCTCGAAGGTATGTCTGCCTGGATCGGAGGTTTCATGTCACCACGCGCCGTGCGGCGAATGATTGGGCTCTGGCCGATTATTTCGCGGACTGCATTGGGGCAAATTCTGAGACGGTTCGGGGTGCTAGGCTACTGATCCCGTCGCTGCCGGACCTGCATGAGCCGCAAATCGTGTTGACTCCCCTTGCTGTCCCCCTTGGTCATCAGGTGCTGCCCGTTGACATGCGAGGCCTTGGCGGCAAGGTGTGTTGTCTGGCCATCGAGCCGGAGGCTGAGGCCGAGGCTATCATTGAGGCAGCCATCCAGACCTGCGGGATTACAGCAACAGCAGTCATTCATTGTTCGTTCAGGACGCCCATGGTCAGGTTTGGGACACCCTGCCGCGCAACCTGGAGACAATCCCATGGCTAATGATTCGTGCAGAGCCCGCCAGGTTGCCGGCAGCCTTGCTGCAACAGCCACAGCTTCCTTTTGGGCTCCGCACAACTGCCGCCGTGCTGCCCACAACCACTATAACACCACCGGTGCCCCAGCGGCCCCAAGCGGACCCACGATGATTACGTTTCTCATGACTGGGTGTGGAACTACAGTGCGACTGCCTCCTCAGGTCCTTGCGCAAGTAAGCGTTCAGCAGTCCGTGATGTCTCTTGCCATGGCATTCGCTATACAAAACCACATTCCGGAAGGCTCCCGCGTGCAGATCACTGGGGCCTTTCCACGACCGGTGACACCCAATGACTTTATCGTCACTCTGTTGTGCTACCCGGACGATGGGGATGTACACATTGTGTATGA